AGGAAGCGGGCTCATGTCCAAATTGCTCCTCCCCACACCCTCCCCAGGCTGTTTTTCCTCCTATGGCCAGTCTTGGTAAATGCAGTACCTACTCAGCTGCCATGCCAGACACCTGCCTTTCCTTGAATCATTCAGGCACCCCCCCTTTGCTGTCCCTCTCCCCAAGGAAAAGCGCTCTGTGTCCAGGAGGGCGCTTAGGGGAGATTTAAGCTTTCTTCCACACGGTGGGGAGTGGGGCCCCACCCTGCTTCCCTTTGTCAGGTCGGGGGTCTAACCAGGCCTCGCTATTCCTCCAACCGCATGGACAGTTACTCCCGCCAGGTCCAAGGTGACATCCTCTATGTGCTGCTGGGATTATATGATGAACCAGCTTCAGCCAGGGCCCCCGCTGTCCCCCTGTGGGACCCCCACGGCACTGTGGTCCAGGCCGGGGAGCTGTGTCTGCAGCCCCAGTTTGAATTTGGGTTCAAACACGTGTGTGCGCCCTGGGCAGGTCACTCGGTCTCGGCAGTCTTAGGAAACTAGCCGGCAGGGTTGTTTCCACGTCCTTTGAGGCCTGGAATCGGGGTGTAGCAATGTCAGCTTTGTTACCCCCCACTCCAGGTTTGAATTCTTCTCCTTGGAGCACCTTCCCCGGTGCTCCACCCTTTCACCTCCTGCCCAGTAATTTCTCTCCCCTGAACTTCCAAAGTCACCCTCCTTGGGGGTGTGTGTCAGCTTTGGGCAAGGCTCATGACCCTCACCCCTCACCTCTGTGCTCTGTGGGAGGCAGAGGGAGTGATGAGCCTTCCCCACTCTTCCCAGGTATTCTAGAGATAACGGCAGTGGAGGTGGGCATCGTGGCCATCAAGGGGCTCTTCTCCGGGCGGTACCTGGCCATGAACAAGAGGGGACGGCTCTACGCATCGGTGAGTCCAGTCTCTCATGTGGGTGGGTCCGGGTGGAGCTGCAGTCCACTGGCCTGGAAGCCAGTGCTCCCCAAAGGTGGAAGGCTAGAGCTGTTAGCCCTCAGGAGGGAGCCCAGAGGCAGGGAGACGGGACCCACGTCCCAGGCACACCTGCTGGAACCCAGTCTGTCCACCGCCTGGGACTCTGTGGGCCTTGGCGTGTCCTTCCCCCAGGGCGGGGGCGGGGGATACATGGAGTAAATAAAGTACATGGAACTAGGAAATTTGCTCCCTCCAACTAGTCATTACACGCAACTCAGCCGATATCTTCTTGGGCAATGAGAGGTTTTCCATCCACACGTAACCTAGGCGACGCAGCCCCAGGATCACCTCCACACAGTTATCTCCCTCCATCGGCGCTTGCAAGGGAAACACACCACCACTTCCTGCCCCTTCTGCAGCCAGGCAAAGCGCCGTCCAGAAGAATTGCAGGAAGACCCGCCTGTAGGCCGATTATTTCATCGCACATGTTCTGCTGAGGGAAAGGAACCGGAATGCTCTGGCCCAGCGGGCACGGGACAGAGGCGTGTCTGGGAGGAGGGGCCCTCTGGTGCCCAGCCCCGCACACAGCAGTTGTGGTTTACTGGCCAGACCCCTAGCCCGGCTGTGGCTTCCCAGGCCCATGGGCACTGTGCCCCTGGCAAGTGGAACTGACTTTCTGTTCTTGAAAGGACCTCAGACCTGTCCCTTAGAGAGAGGCAACCCCAAGGAGGAGGTGTCGCTGGCCTGCAGTGATGGTGCGGGTCTGACCTCTGAGGGCCTCCCGTCCACACTGGTGACATCCACGAGAGTGGGGCAGGGAAGGCTGAACTGAGAGGGGAAGCCTAAGGCTACTGCCGTCTCTTTCATGGGCAACCCAGGCCCCGGGCTTTGGGGGCAGAACAAAGCATGGCCGGAGTGATCCCAGTGGGTCAGAGCCCACCTGTGGCTTCTGTCCCCAAGTGTCATGGCATTGGCTTTGGGAAAGGAGGAAGAGAGGTTCACTGCATGGGCATAGCCAGGAGGTCCAGTGGAAGCAGTGGGGCTTTGCAGAGC